TAAAAGACAACAGTAACTTGTACCTCATAACAGATTACTACTATGGTGGTGATCTCTCGACATTATAAAGCAAGTCTGAAGATAAGTTACCAGAAGAAATTGCAAAGTTTTATATTGCAGAGATGAAATTGGCTATTGATTCCATCCACGAAGTAAACTGTTTTTACAACAGATATTTAACTTGACAATGTTCTTTTCAATGCTCATGGCCACATTCAACTGACAGATTTGGGTTCATGTCTCTGATTACTTAAATGTTCCTGATTACGTATCTCTAGAAATACTCTAAGTAATGGAACAAAGGAGACAAAAATTTCAGAAACGTTATCACATTAACTTTTTCTTTATCAAAACCCTTTTAGTAATGTTCTGCTATTTATGTAAGGCAGTTACTACCCATCTCCACCGTTTCACATTTTTGGAACACACCTAGAAAAATGAGCCCTGCACCTTACAAAAAATAAAATATCAATTTCAAAACCATAAATTCATAACAAATGTCACACGTTCAGTTGAAAAATTCATATCCTTTTTACACATTTTTTGTTTACTCATGGGTACAAAGTATCCTGATCATAAGTGATCACATAAAAGCAGGACTTTGCAAAGTTCACAGCAATTTCGTCCTATTTATTCAGGACCAGGGGGGATATGTTTTGCCACCCCCACCAAATTTTAGTGAATCATTTGTAGACGACAGCAGTATTATGTTAAGCCAATTTTTTGACACTCATTTTTGTTGCCCCCAAGAACCTGCCTCCCTGTGAAAATGCCCATGCTGCATTCCCAGTCATGCTGACCCTGTAATTATATATAGCATTTAACTGAGTGCAGGTAATTTGTATTAAATTTTTTTAAACTTAATTAACCCTTTAACCACAAGTACCTCTTTAAACACTTTTCTGTGCTAGTCACTTTGTTACATTCAAAATCTAATTAAACACCTTTATTAGAAACATATGTGAATTAAATTAACGTTAGAATGTATGCTACAATTCGAGGATTTATGTTATCTAAGTTTAAGTCCTCATTGCAAAAGAAACCTTCAAAAACTACTTAAAACTTCAGATATATTCAAAATTCTCTACTTTAGCACTATGTATATTCAGTAATACAATGACAATATGTAGAGTATGTCTAGCCTATAAGATGCTTACATAACCTTTTGACTTCTACATTTCAAAGTTCTCTGAATAAATGCAGTTGAAACAAGTAATAATTTTTTAAAATCCTTGACAGGTGTCATGCCCACCTTCAACAGATGTGTTTAAGTTTTTTGCCTACATGTATATGTTACATACACTTGTGTATAGTCATTAGAAAGAGCTCATTTTACACTATAATCTAACAACAGTTATTTTGAAATTGGTACGCATTTGTCGTCCAAGAGTACATATAACTGACTATAGTATTGTTGGCTACTTGATCAACTACAGCACTTACGGTTGTTTCTTACCTAAATATGTTATAGTTAGATATACAGTTTAAATTGTATTTAGGTCTTACTATTATATTTTAGTTAATTATGTATTAGTTATGTTTTAAAATGCATAATTGAAAGGTTTAAACATTTTTAAGTATATGCCATACTTTGCATCAGTTCTTAAGGCTTACGATATTAGATATTTTGCTGAAGGGTTGTGCATGTCTGCCAGAGACACTGCAATATGCCTCAAGGTCACCGTTGACTTGTGGCAAGATGAATAATAATTGGTAAAGGACAAGAAATGAAAATAAAACAATAAAAATTAACTATATGTGAAACTGAAAATACTTGAAATTACGAATCAAGAAAAGGAAAATCTTCAAAGATATTCCACAAAAAATTAAAAGGTATGTATTTTTTTCTATTTCCTAATTTTAATTATTTCATTGCATTGTACGTTAATGATAATAGCTAGAGTTAGTGGTGCGGTTGAGAAAATAAAAAATAAACATTTTCTTTAAACAACTTTTGATATTCATTTAGTAAGTTCAAAAGGTTATGCAAATGAAATATGAAAACTATAAGATGAAAAAAAAATATTTTTATACTTAAAATGAAAATCACCTTGCACTCAAACTATTTTAACAGTTTGAGTGCAAATGGCTACTATAGATAAATAACACTTTTATTAGAAAGATGTAATTAAAATATTTATAAAATTTAACAAAATCTTACAAGGTTTTGTGAGGAATGTTCAGAGTTACCATATGTTTTTTGCATAAATGTCCTTCCCAGTCAAAATGATAAAAACTGCATCAGACCGAGGCAAAAAGATTTAATAAATCTAAGTTACAATATAATTATTTTCTAAATTATTAAAGGATTACAAATATAATATTTACACATAACAGGTTCACACTCTCTTACTTTAAAACTATACTTAGTCTAACCTCCATTTTAACTTTTATTGTGGCCAAACTTTCACCCAATGGAATTATGTTCTTAATTCTGATAATGAAGGTGTTTGATTTCGAAAATAAACTGAGTAAAAACAAGTAAAATAAAAATGATAATAAGATATTGTGCAAAAATACAATAACTTACAGGAAACACAAAAGCATCCTTTAACCCTTTCTGCACGGGCACCCTTTACTGTGCATGTCACAAGGCTTTTAGTGACTTACATTCAAAATTTAATTAAACTACTTTTTGTTTATACTATACCAATAGTAGCTAACAATCCATATTTTAATAGTATACAAGTTGTAAGTTCTTAATTTTATAAGGCAATATTTTTAAAAATCCTGAATTTCCCCTAGTGTGAGAAATGTGACATTTTTTCTTGAAGCATCCCCTCTTCTCTAATTTATTCATCACCCCTCGATTAAGTACGAAATTTAATGTAATACACTCACAATCAAATCACCATCACTCAGACAAAGCATAATTTTTATGGCCTTCACTTTTGTTTGGTTACAGAGCTATCAAATAGAAAATCAGACTCCCTCTTGCAACATCCTCCAAGTGATTTACAACTTGCAATGGTGCAAATAATAGTTAAACATGGTTCAAAGAGCAGTAAAACAATCAAATTTAAGTATAAATTGATGTATACTGTTACGAGTTTAAAGCTACTTAGGAGAAACAAATGTAGTTTCATGTTACAATTTGAAGTCATTTTAGAAAGAAAAAAGGGTAATTTACACTTATTTCGATTTTTTTTATGGTTACAAGATAAATCAAATGGACCAAACTTATATAGAGTTAGGGTAGAGAAAATATAATGTTTTACTGAAAACAAACATTTGAAATGTATTTAGGAGAGTTTTGAGATTATGCAAATTTAATTTGAGAATTTTGGGATGAAGAATAGTTTTTAATTATAATGTGAAAATCACTTTGCACTCAGACTAGCAACAAAACAGACTCAATATATTCACATAAAAATTTTTAGAAAAAATTCTTCATTAAAAAATCTAATGTTTGGTGCACTTGTAATGTTTCCCAAAAGTCTACCAAATTTTGTAAAGATATACATACTGTATCAAAAGTTACAAAAGTATCAAAACAAGTGCAAATGTGTATATGGATTTGGCATTTTATATTGAGCCTGTTGCAAAACGGTTAACCATTTTAACTCTTTTAAATCCCTTTCTATGCAAGTTACTAAGTTACATTCAAAATTTAATTAAACAACTTTACTATCAATGTATGTCAATAAACTTATTATAATGCATTTTATAAATCAAAGTTTTATGTTAGCTAAGTTTTTAATTCCTTTCTTTCAAAAGAAAATTATAAAAAAATAAGAGCTTTGAAAAACCTCAACTTTTGCACCAGTCCTGTAGATGTATGTCTAGACAATAAGTACATTTACTTGCTGTATTCTCATGTATGTCTCAAAGTTCTTTGGCTGAGTTCTGTTGAAACTAGAGATAAATTTTTCAACTCCTGACAGGTGCCACACCCACCTTCTACACTATTCCTTGAGCTTTACAGGTCACATGTAGTTATTTGACACGTGTATATAGTCATTAGAACGAGCTCATCTTACACCATAATCCAACAATAGTTATTTTGAAATTGGCTCTCAGTTGTCATCATCAGGTAGCTGTAACTGTTTTTTCATTAGTCATATGTAAACAATGGGAGCAAACCAGATATATGGGTAATAACATTTTGCCCATGGCTTACATCTCCAGTAAAATGTCACTGCATTAGAAAATCATTCTTACAAAGTACAGTTAACTCTGTAGAACATACCAAGCAAAATCTGAACACATAACAAAGTAAATTTATGTAAAAATTACAGAGATAATTTGCATGTTGTTCCTTTTATATCATAATTTTATCAAAGAATAGTATTTTTAGTATTACTTACTGTTTATAATATTGTTGTTTACCTTGCACCAAAATATCATAAGGCTACAGGATTTACAACTGACACTGTGCAAATTCCACAAAATCAGCCTATACAAATTCACTACACAAACAGATGAATCTTACATACATTTATTACTGTGTATAAATATCAAACTTAGACTCAACTGCTTCTAATTTTGTTACTAATTTTGTAAAATGAATAAGATAACATATGAATAAAAGCATGAGAGTAAGAATATGACAGGAATACTTTCTGCATGTGCTTGCTAAACAACATAATGATAAAAAATAAAGAAATCCATATAGTGCTATTTATAGACTATTATTAAAAAAAATTAATATTGTATAAAAATTGGTTTATTGTAAATACTTTAGAACATATAAGTGAAACTTAACACTGTTAAAAGATTACAAAAACTGGTCAAACCAATGTACACATGTATGATGATTTAATAATTCAGACATTTAGATTTTGGATGAGATTTGTTTATTTACGATTAAGAATTTGTAATTTTCATCATGCATATTTACGAGGTACATGCATCTGTGTTACTAGAATAATGATTTATACAATATTATAAAATAATCATCTCATTTGTATGAAACACAATAAATTAGTTTTTAAGGACACTTTTTAGTTACTCCTTTAATCTAATATCAAAACATACTTAACTAAGTACACAAAACTTACCCGTTTCAATCCAGCAACAGCTAGAAACATTTCATCTTCATGATCAAGAGACTGTTTCAACATACAGTCTTGAAGCAGTTCAAGGTGATGGGTCATTCTTTTGCAACAATAGTTGTTCATTGCTTCCATCTCCGAGACTTGAGCTCGTAATGCTTGAAGCTCTTCGTCTGTGTTCTGTAGTAAAAATTCAAAATTGTATATCATGTATTTCAAGTAACTGTGAATATTTTAACATAACTTGTGTATTTCAAAACACCTAATAAAATATTTTCAGTACCAGCTTCTGTAATCAAAATTAGAAGATATGTAATTGTTTTTCAACCAAGAAACTCATAAACCAAATACTAAATCAAGCCTATAAAGTTCTATTTTAAATTAATTTTGATTCTAGATTACATATAAGGAAATACTACCAGTGTTGACAGGTCCAATTCTGTTGTTTGTTTGTAATCAAGCACAAAGCTACACAATGGGCTATCTGTGCTCTGCCCACCACGGGTATTCTAGCGTTGTAAGTCCGCAGACATACCACTGTGCCACTGGGGGGGCTCAATTCTGTTGTTACTCATGAATTTTACTCATAAAAATAATAAGCCTACTCAGAATTTCTGTACATATTTTACTTAACACAACCTTATGTTCTTTTACTTACTTTCATAACCAACAACAATTAAGCTTGTAATTTTATACATATACATGTATAATCAATATTTTACTCTAATTATTAGAAAAAAATAAAGAAAAAGTTATTGGCAGAACAAGTTGGTCAGGTATAAAGGTCCTAGAGCAGAGCAAACAGTTAAATGATTTAGCTTAAAAAATCAAACAAAAAAATTAAGAAAAGGCTTAGCAGTTCTTCCATTATTATTTGAAAAGTCTGAAAAATAGGTGTAGAATGCAGTATGAGAAAAAGAGCTTGAAAAAAGTTTATCTACATTTTGTGTTTGTTTTACTTCAATAAGAAAAAAATATTTTGAACGATTATTTAGTTCTCATAACAAGAATGTTAATTATTTTAAAAGTGACACTTATGAAAAGTTTCATTACTTAACTCTGTACAAGTTGTACATTATGTATGTAGTTTAATTGCTGTACTAGCTTTTGTATTATTATTTATGTCATCTTACTCTAAGCTTCTAAGTTTTCTCGTTATGTATCATATTGATGTTACTAGAAGTCTAGATATATCTAAATATTTCTGTCGCATGTTATATATATGTGCAGAGTGAAAGTGAAAGTAAAAGTGAAGTTAGACTGCCTGTAAATTAGCTGTAATGAGTAATCTCTAAAGTGAGTTTCACAGCTCATATTCTTACAACAGAGTCGTAGAGGAAAATAATTTGTCTTGTCAAAGGGTGTTCTAAAGTAATTGAACCTGCTTGTGTGGACTTTGACGAAAAAGAGAATTATTTAAAGCTCTGGACCCAACTGTGATAACTAATAGTGTAACGAATTTTTGTACATACGTCTGACATGTTTTGATTATATTATTTTAAAACAAGTGGATTGTGTGCTGTTCATTTATTGTTGAAATTTATCGCAAACAAGTCACAGACACCTGTAAAGAATTCGCCCCTATAAAACTGACATCTGATAAGCCAACCAGGATTATACAGTGGAAAATAGCAGTAGAAGAAAACGTGAATGATAGTAGAAGTAGACCTATATACATAGAGTGGTGATGAAAACTAGTGTAGAGATTATAATCACTTTATAGAACCCTTTCAACTGGTCTAATAAATGTATAGAGAGTGGTCAGCGACTGGGGCTAAAAGATGGTGATCTATGAGAGTTTCTTAAACAATAAAAAGACCTAGAGAAAGAAGAGCATGGGCAGAAAAGAGAGGAAGAGAGACTGAAAGAAGAAAAGGAAAGACTACAAATAGAAGAATAAGTGCACAGATTGATAAAGAAGAAAAGGAGAGAGAGAGGAGACACTGGCAATAGAGAAAATAAGAGCACAAATTAAGATGGCCAATCCAAGCTGTCTGAACTTAATTAACAGAAAGACAACATGGATGCTTTCCTGGAGAGATATGAAATATTCACCCAAAGTTAGAACTCGAACAACGGTGACTGGGCAGTCTATCTCAGCCCACTTCTCACAGGAAAATGCCTACAAGTGTATGCAGGCATGATGGTAGAAGATGCTGATGCCATGGGCTATGACAAGTTAAAAGTGACATTGCTGAAATGCTATAAACTTAGCAAGGAAGGTTTCTATTGGAAGTTCTGAGAAATCAAACCTGACACTGGAGAAACAGTGTTTCAGTTTGGGGCACATCTACAACAATATTTCACAAGGTACACTGACATGGCCAAGTGTGAAAATAGTTTTGAAGGACTGGTAGATCTACTAATCACGTGCTCAACTGACATGTCACAGTTCCTAAAAAAAGAGAGCACCAACAGACATGGATGAGCAGATAAAGCTGGCAGAATAGTATATGGAAGCTCATGGAGAGTTGAAACCAGGGATGGCTTACCAGAAACAGGATACCACCAAAGGTGATGAGAACTCAATGGACAAAAGGTATATTTGAGACAAGATGGTATATTTCTTATAAAATATGGCACACTGCAAAGGATTGAAAGTCCATCACCGACAAGCAAGTGCAGAAATCTCAACATAAAGCAGCTGTAGCTGCATGAAAGATGGTGCGGGCAAGAAACAAGAAAAGAGTAACTATCACCATGGGTGCTACTGCCAGAAGAAACAGAATAATGATAATCCATCAGATTCACCACAAGAAGGAAGTGCTATTTCTATGATTAAACAGCTCAAATTAGCAAGTGGATCAATAATGCCAGTAGTGATTGGAGAATGTGACAAATATCAAGAGGTGCCAAAAAATCCCAACATGCCAATAGGTGAAAGCTACATCAGAGACAAGAAAGTGAAAGTTTTATGAGACATTGGGTGAAGTAGTGCAGCAGTGAGAACAAGTTTTGTATCTGATGACCAAATGACAGGCAAGGTACATCTGTGTGTGTATTAATTGATGGGATAGTGAGAAAGTTTCCCATAGCAAGAATAAAGGTGGACACTCCATATCATGTGGGAGACCTTGAGGCCATGTGTATGAAGGCATCTATCTACAACTTGGTGATTAGCAATATACCAAACAGTAGAAGTTTGGAAAAACCAAGCAGAAGCATTTGCAGTCACCACAAGAGCTCAAGAGAAGAAAAGCAATCAAGACATGCCCGACTGCAGAATCTTCTCCAAAGGCTGATGAAGACGAGAAGCAAGGGAAAAGGTGAGGTGTCAGATTTGATGGGAGGTAATGTGGAACAAAGCACGTTGGGAAGGGGACAAGGAGGAATAAGCCAATTGGATTAAATGATGAACCCAATTGGTAAAGGTAAAGGGAGAAAGATCCGAGAGAAAGAGGGTTCTTGCCATGGGAATAGAACATGTGGATAGAATGAGCTAAACGAGATGACATCCGACGTGAGAAACTGGATCTCCTCGCCAGGTGTGAAGTGAGGAATGCAGAACCAGTGACTGAGGACAACGAAGAAGTTCAGGAAATAAAGGAAGAGGGAGGAAGGGAACAACTGTAGCTGGAGTAATCGAGGAAACCATAGTTGAGCAGGCCATTAAGGAGCAATCAGAACGACTTTGCACAGAGTGGTGTGGATGAAGGAGACTACCCAATGAAGTAATATGAAGGAACTTGTTCAACCAAACCTGGCTCAAGGCATATACAGCCAAAGCCCAAGGATGGGGAACCCAAGGACCAAAACAAATGTAATTGGTAATTGAGGGTGGCAAATGCATCGATATGAGGAATACCCCACTGACTGCAAAGCCACCAAAAACAAGGGGATGAAAAAACCGCTCCATTGGGTAAAACTGGTTGGGTCGAGTCGAGAAAGATGATACAACACAAGGTTGAAAACACCCAGTATGTGACACGCAATCAAACGAATGTGATGATCATGGGCCCAAAAGAGAAGACCCAATGTTAGAAAATACAGAGATCTCTACTGGGTGCCACCTCGGTGATTGGTATGAGCCATCACCGTTGAATTGTTGGAATAGATCATGACCAAACAATCTCTGGAGATGGGAAGAAAATGATCCAAAGCCCGAAGAACAGCAAAGAGTTCAAGGACATTGATATGAAGAGAACGTTCCCTGAAAGTGAACTGCAGGGGGACAAACGATCAAAATCCTTGTCAGCCTGGCCAGGTTTGAAAGGCTCAGCTTGAAGAGGGACAATGGCAGGTGACAAAGAAAGGATGTCCCATATAAAGCTCAATCTAACTGCAAATAAAGCCCGATAAATCCCCTGATGGGTTGCACTCACCTGTGGCCTGAAGTGGTAACATTAACTTCAGAATTCATGCTTGATACCATAGAAACAAGCAAAATTTTTTTGGCAAAACACGGGTAAATCAAATGCTTTTGAAAATAAAGTGAAAAAATTATTGAAATAAAGTAAATTAAATTAAATTAAACCACTTCGAGATGTAATGAGCAAAAAGAAAGACACCTGAACTCCAGCACTTCCAAACGAGAAGTGATGGTTCAGTAGTTGTGCATAGAGGGAGTCACATGCATCATGTGATAGTAGTGCTCTCCTATTGGTGGAGAGATGATGCATGATGATTTGCATATGAGACAAAGATTCCAACAAGAGGGGTGTGGAAGGCTTGTGGCATGCATTATAAAAATAGTTCACATATAGAGGGCAGCACAAAATGGGAAAAGCTAATTTTGTCAGCTGAGGGAAGTACTGTATCAGAATACATGCTGATACAGAGAGCAAGTTAGTGAAAGTGAAGTTACACTACATGTGAAGAAGCCACAATGGACAATTTCTAAAGTGCGTTTCACAGCTTGTATTGTAATAACAGAGATAGAGGAGGTAATTTTTCTTGCTCTAAAGTAATTGAACCCACCTGTGTGGACTTTGACAAAAAAGAGACAATTATTTAAAGCTCTGGATACAACTGTGGTAACCAACAGTTAGTGGTGACTTTAAGTTAAAGTGTATTGTAACAACAGAGAAGTGGAGAATAATTTGTCTTGTGTAAAGATTTTCTAAATTAATTGAATCTGCCTGTGTGGACTTGATGAAAAAAAGAGATAATATAGTTAAAGTTCTGGATACAACTGTGATAACCAACAGTGTGATGAATTTTTGTATAAGTTTGACTTGTTTTGAAAATATTATTTTAAAACATGTGGATAGTGTGCTGTCTGTTTATTATTGAGACTTATCACCAAGAAGTCACAGACACCTACTGTACAGAATCTGGCATCTATAAATTCTGACAATTATATAATACAAAAACCTTTACTGATAAAAGTATATTTCACAGAACAAATATACTCACTATATTATTTTTCCTACTGCTGTAATGAGAAGTGTTGTACTCTATTGGCTCAGTGTTTCCTAGCAAGCACTGCTGTGTTAGAGGAACCATCTCTTTATACATTACCTCACTGCTTATAGCATCTTCGGCACTTAATTTTCCCAAGCTCAGACTAAGTCCTGACCGATCAAGTTTATAGCTCACTTTAGAATGTTTGGGTAAGGTCTCTGCTGACATGTCCACCAGACGACCAGCAAATCCATCACTTTGGTGACGAACATGTCTTAATTGTTTTGATGCTCTATTTCCAAAAGTTTTTTTCTCTGCAGAATTTTCTCCTTTTTCTAAAACACAATGACTACTAGCATCCACACTGTCTAAAAAAAGATAAAACAATTACATCCTCAGACAACAAAGGACATGAAAAGTTGCTTAAACTAAATATAACAATCTTTCCTGACAAAATGTGAGCTTAGGGGTTTGGTTAGTATTTTTGTTTTTAAAATTTTCCACACTAAAATATTAAGTACAATAAAAACTGCAGCAATCTTTAACATTTTTCAATCTTATGCACTAGGACTGAGTATCAGATATTTTACAAAAGGATTCCTACTAATATATAATAAGAAACAAATTCAGAGAGAAAAGTACTTAATAAATCATAAAATAAAAAAACATGTATACATTTGTCTCCAAAAACCCTAATCAAGTATGCTTCATACATCCTCATCTAGTATGTCATATTATTTAACAAAAAAAACTAAGCTAAACCAATCAAGTATGCATCTTGTATTCTGAAACACCTCATGCTGTTATGTAAAAAAAATCAATCAATTTGTAAAATATATCCTCATAAAAAAATTAAAGTATGCATTATATATATATCCTAGTCAAACATTATTATTATTAAAAAATAATGAACTAACATGTATCTTCTCCAATGTGTTAAAAAACACTCTATTATGTATTATATATCCTCATCCAATGTGTCATGTTGTTATCAAAATTTGCTAACTTAGATTACTGATAACTAAAATTCAGAATTATTATATGAATGTTTTGAATGCAGAGCTTTTACAAATTAAACTCATATTATCCGTTTACATATCAAATGAATACATTAATGTCAAAATTTAATCACAACTTAAATGTTGCTACACAACTTTAATATCTAAGTGATAAAATTCTGAGTGACTACTGTTTTTTTCCCAATACATATAAATTTGTCTATCTTTCTAATTCTTTTATTGTAAAGAAAGAACGTGCAAAAGTGGTGGTTCATATACCAGGAATAAATGTCCCAAATAAAACATTTTAGCAACGTGTGAACCTAAAAACTGTCATAAAATACAAAACTATGAATTAAATAAAGAATGATATTCCATAAACAATGAAAAATTCAATTAAGCAAGTACAAAAATGAAAATGTTTGATTTATGTGCAAGGTGGTCAGAGTGAATCTGTGATATCCTTAAGATGCAACATTAAAATCTTGATCAACAGTGACACTTACCACCTCAACACTGGTGCATGTGTTAATTTGCTAAAATAAGACGACAGTCCAAAATAAATAATTTTTCTCATGAGTTGCAATAATGTCCAGCTAAAAGTTCTATATATGAATATCAAACAATTACTGATCCACTCTTTTCATATTACAATACTAAAAATGTACTGATAACTATATATAAAATATAGGACATATGTTTTCTTCACATATTTTTAATACTTCTAAAGTATATAAAAATAATCCTGTTAAATATTTTTATTACATGTTTCAAATAAATGTGAATATAAAAAACAATTACTGCAATCTGCATGAGGTTACTGATAGTGTTTACACCAGGTACTCGTCCGACAACTTTATTGAACAGTTCCAAAATCACTACCCAGATCTGTCAAAGCAATGACTAACATCAAACTGCATCCATTCTTTTCATTTTTTTCCTGGCATTCCAGGTTTCCATGGGCGTCTAAGTGTTAATATCAAGAATAAAACCTTGTATATGTTTTGTGTATGTTAAGATATAAAAATATAAAAGAATTCACTAAAGCTTTGCTGCATGTTTGTTTTGTTTTACATGCTTTCCTTTCTCTCTGATAGTACTGTAAACTTTATCTCTACCAGTGATAGTGTACTGCTATAGTTTACTGGATACAGTGTACTACACACATAAGGTTACGCAGTTGTCAACTTGCGTACTGATGCTTTCGATGTTATGCACAATGCCTGTAAGCATTGTGGCAAACTGTTCCAGGGGTAATGTACACTCGAATCTGAACTTGCTCCTCTCATCGCGTGTTCACAAAGTCCATATCATAATAGATTGTTCTGCCTCATCACCTAAACTGTGTATCGGTGACAAAAGTTGGAAACATGTGATTGGCCAAGTAATAATATCAGACTGTAACACTCATTTGAAGGTTGCTGTAAAATATCTGACTCATAAAGTAAGGGAGGGACCACAGAAATAATTAATGTAAGCAGTAAGTACATTTACCCATGGCTTGAAAGTTACAACTGCTCTATAAGCTGCATACCCTTGCTTGTGTCTAGGATGGAAAAATTAAAAAAGGCACACAAAATACAGTGAACTCGGAAGCAACACTGAACAAACAGGAAAACTGAGTGGGACAGACAGTACATCAAGCATTAAGCCTAGTTTAAGTAACCTACCTTTAGCTAGGCTTGGTTTCACGATTTATTGTAGAACTTTTTCTTTAGTTTTAAACTGTTTTCGTAATGTTTTTACACTGTCATTTAATCTCATTCTCTGTGACTTTAGCTTTCCAAACTATACCCAATTTATAAAACCACAAATATTGGCAACCCAACCCTAGGCCAACAAGTATTTCAGTTTCCATTGACCTTTAACAGTCAGTAAACTGTCATGTAACTAGGTAATAAATGAGTATTGACCCTAGGGAATTGGGGTCAGATCTTTATCCTTTAGTTTAAACTTTTTGCAATGTTTTTATACTGTCATTTAACCTCATTCTCTGTTAGTTTAGCTTTCCAAATTCTACCAAATTTACAAAACCACAAATATCAGCAGCCCAACCTTAGATTAACAAGTCTTTCAGTTTCCACTGATCTTTACCAGTAAGTAAACTGTCCGGTACCTGGGTCAGACATTTCTACCTGGTGCAAACACTAGTTACTGCATGATACGTGTTATAATTACATAATGCCTTATTTTTCTGTGTACATCAACATTATTAAGGAAGAAAAATAGGAAATCAGCACCCTGTAAAATGAAATTTAGCATTTTGTAAATAATGAGCTTGCACTATGTGATATTTTCAACCTGAACAACACGTTATGTAACACAGGTCAAATATCCAATTTTCAGGCATAACCATTCCCAATTAAGAACTGCTGAGCAAAAAAGATAACAGTCTACAAAATCTGCCATCAAAAATGGCTATTCTTAAAAAAAATAACAATCACTTTTACATCACCTACAGTTAAAACAATGGGAAGTGTTTAGTGGCATATTGTGAGATCAAACCATCTCATTTAAGCCAAGCAAGCTAACCACTATGTCTCTTCATCTCTGAAGGCTTAAATTCTTTAATATGTATTTGATTAATGAAAAATGTAGCTAATAATATTCATGATATGCTAGAATTTCAATGTTTTTATATAAAATATAAAAAAGTGGGTATATCATATTTTGTAATGCAAAATAATACAAGTATAATGGGTCTTAGAATACTGGCAATGACAGCACATTGGTATAATTTTCTATATTATCAGAGTTTGTGTTTTATGAAATTTAGTTATTTTTATATTATGTAACAACTTCTGATACTGAATGTGCACTATTCCAAATGCATGAAAGTATATAAGCACATTCAAGGTAAGCTCTGTGAAAATAAGACTTGTGTTTTTTACATGTTTCATAAGTAATATCTTATTCCACTTTCCTTTATGGTGTTTCATTAAATGTTATTGGATATAACGTTATGCTTCTGAAAATTATTTTTCATTGTTAGCTTAGTATTACAACTTTGAAACTAACATAATCCCACATTAACAAAAGTACATATAATGATTATATGCAAACAATGCACATAGACTTAATGTAAACTATTAGAACAGTGAAATTTTATGCTCAAGGAAAACTAACTCAACAAGAATAAAAACAAACTTATTAATCACTGCACTGTGGTTGTTTGATATTTATGATTTACTGATATAGTCTGCTATATACGCAAATTGATGAAAAATTTGAAACTTAACAGGTATAATAATTTTCGAAAGCTATACTCTAATAAGAGAAATTTTAAAATCAGAATTAACAAAGGCATGTGATCACAATAAACCTGTTAATCTCCTAGACACTTCATGTTGACTCTATAAAAGCTAACAAAACATAGTAAATGTTTTTTCACTTTATTGTAATTTTATTAAAGATTTCAGATTCATTAAATGATAAAGCTTGCTCTATTTTCTTTATCATTGTATATTTTAATGATAAAAACATCAAATGTCTATTTTAGACCAAAATTGTATTTTAAGATTTCAAAGAATATGTTGCATTATTTATGCACAATCAGTTAGTTTATTGAGCAAATGTATAAAATAAGATTATACTTGAAAGGATACTTGCTTTATTTTTTTCCAGTTCAGAAGATTACAGTCATGTTCCTACTTTTTCATAACATGATTATTTTACCAAATGCAAAACTATTTTTCCTGCAAGACATATATAGAAAGATAAAAAAACAAATTTCTGGAGTATTTACATACCTTTAAAAGCATTGAAAGTTTCCACAGAAGGTTTTTCATTTTTTCTGGGGGTATTAGTTGGCATGATTTCTTCCAGCACTAATGATTTGGGTCGTGAGGACAAAAGCTCTTTCTTGGGGCTATCCAAGATGTAATGATATCAGCATTATGATACTTGTTATAGGTAATGTGGTGTAATTCTACTAGTAATTTTCATTAAATGACTCAATAACAAACAAGCTAAATATACAATTACAAAAATTAACTCAGAAACTGCTCTCACATTTTAGTGCTAAAACTGTAAAGATTTTACAAACTATTGACTCTAAAAGATCAAGCATTCAGGATACATCGACTCAGCCACAAGGTTAAACTGCAGCTCATTAAAAGAAATGAATTTAAGAAGAAAACTTGGAAATACCAACAATAACCAAGGTTAAGTATCATGGATGACAGTTACAAATCCCCAAATTAATGTTGAAACTGACCTGTGTAATTTCTGTAATGAAGGTGACAGTGACTTAACAGAAGTTTGGTAAATATCTTGTTGACTTCTTACATTTGGTGTATGCCTTAGCATCTTACATGCATAGCCTACAGGTCGATTGTATCTCTGAAAGATCACAAAGTGAAAATAGTCTTATTGCCATGCAGGAAACATCTACTTTTTTTTCAAATTCATAAAGAATTGAAAAATA